TAATATAACAGTTTCATTAATTATTATACATCGATACGCCCTTACATTCTGTAAGGTACCTCTATATTTGTTGTTTTCACAAGACTCTATTTAAATGTATGGGGTGGAAATTTACAAATTATGACCCGTCTTGGACCATCAGTACTTCCGAAAATATAAATATATTACTAGGTCTTTAGTTGAACAACCTCGCCAAGTCGATTAACTCTATCAGACAGTTCCTTTAGCACTGAATCGTCGTATTGTTGTTTTGTCTGAGTCGGTAGTCATTTTGTCTTTTTGTTAGTTAATCTTATTCACAATAATATATGCCGCTCCTTGTAGTTATTCATGTCGCAATGCCGTAAGGTAACCGTCTCTTTGTGGATTGTTCAATGTCTTGTGTCTTTTTCGACGCTTCGTACAATTACGATACGTGTACACGTTTGAGTTCCCGGTTTAGTCCGGAACACTAAATTAAAGCCGGGGCGTCCTAGTAATTTTATGATAATCTAGACCGGGCGGCATATATTGTGCGTGTGGGAAGTAGTTCAGGATCAACAAAGGAAGACGTGCAAAAACGACAACGCTTTTGTCCCGTCAAAAAAAAAACGAAACTCCCTTATCAATAAAACTTCGACACAACCGGACCTTTTACTTAGTATTCTTACTGCTACTTTTCGACGTGCTAAATTGGTGAAGTTCTTGATTACTTGACGAATTACAACAAAATATCGAAAATCGAACAATCAAGGTCCAAATTATACACGATATTCAATTAAGTTATTCAGAAATCTATTTGTAATTGGTCAGGGCCGGAGCCCATTTGGTAAGAACATAAAACCCGGGTGACACATAAACTCAAACTGTGGGGGACGAGATAACGTTACTCAAGTAAGTATGTAATTATTATAAACGCGTACTGGTTTTAGTTATGTTACCTATGTTTTTTCACTAGATTTCGTTTATTTAATCTGAGTCATCTCAGGTCGACTATAACTCAGGACTACGACATTTTGGAGTATCACACAGAAGTTTACTGTCGTGATCTCCAAGTGAGTAAACCTATTAATGAAAAAAAACTCAAAAGGAAAAATTTGAGAATTACTATTAGAGAAACGTGTCCCCAAATCCAAACGATACTCGAGTAACGTAAATATAATTTATACTAGTTTCCTACTCTTAGACACGGTTCCCAATAATAACGCAACTCGTCTAAAAAGACGCGGACCTCTCCTTATGGTTTAGAGTAAAAGGGAATGACATGACCGGTCTTCTCTGACGCGCACCCCGAACCACAGTAATGTACTCTTCGGGTCGGTTTGAGACAGACGGATCTTCGCTATGTCTCGACTCTGTTCACACGAATAACTGACGCGACGTTGCTCTCTCTTTCTCCTGCCTTTTTGTCGGGTGTTTTTTTTCTCTCGCCTCTTGAACAGGAAAGAACAGAGCCAACAACCAGTGTGATCTCTAGTAACAAAAGGGGTCTGGTAGAGTTCTTTTCACCGATGTCTTTCCAGGTATTACCGACTCGACAGTAAGTGGGTCCACTGACTCACGTGGACCCGTCAAAGAGCGACGACCGTGTGAGATCGAGATGGTCGGACCCCGTGAACGACGGCATCAATTTTTTTTTATTCGATCTCTTCTTTTTGCACTCAGGTCTTAAGAAAAACTACACTCTATAAGTGTTACCCCTTTCTTTTTGTTCACGAACTCTGACTACTGGCAAACACGTAAACCCTAAATGACTCGACAACTAATATCGTTGACTTCCTCTCCGACCCCGAGGTCACAGTAAGCGTCGCTTACGTTAACTGGTACACCTCGTATGTTCCAAACACAGTCGTCAAGACTCTCCACACTGACGGATCACTTTGGAACTTGTAAAAATTGTGTCCACAAATTGTCGGATTGGTTCCCATTAGACGATAGAACTTTATAATCGCCTCACCCTAAAATTGGTCTGGTTCATAGTGGTACACGTACAGAAACATTTATGACTGTTTGTCTCTTTTTCATTTATAATAAGTTGTTATTACCTATATGTCACGGAATCGGTTGTAGATTGTCAGACGTTGTCGTCTACGCAACCTTTCGACGAACGGAAGTGTAAGGCGTAACGGGTATTTACAGAGGCACCACCCTGCAACACATCTTCTTCCGTACGTTCGCCCAACCTTGTGTCACAGGGTCTTGAACATGACAAGTGCAGGGGGGAAAAAAAAAAGAAAAAAAAAAAAATAGGGTAAGACGACCGTCTTTGAACGTTACCTTTACAACCTCCCCTTTGCCACGCCCAAATGTAGTACCGTAGGAGTAGTTTGAAGGCTCACATCAAATGGCTTTCTTAAAATGAAAACCTAGAGTTCTGGTTGTCTGGGATATTCGACCTTGGATAACAAGGAGTAAAGAAAAACACCGTCAGGCGTAGAACTAGGAAAAGACACTGCGTAAGTCGTCCATTTAATAAGACGTGTACTTACATAATAGAATGTCTTCTAACGCAACTTTACTCTTTGCAGGAGTAGTGTGAAGGACATCTCTTTCTGTAATTCACACTCCTAAATGGCGTTTCCCGGACCCTACCGGGACACTGAAATAGTTATTGTTCCAAAATATAAATGCATACAACAATTTACCTATTTCATATGAAATCTCAACACGTGCCGAGATTCAGAGATCGTCTCTGAAAATTCTTCTCCCCCATTCTGTACGTAAAAAACCGTACGTCAGGGAATATGGAGTCGATAATTGGTGAAGTTTACAAGGGAAGACAATACTGTTTTGTCCCGACCCATAAACAACAATCGATGGTGCTGGTTTTACTGTTCTCTCTACTGTATTGTTTTTTTTGCACAACTATCTGCACAAACTTTCGGAGGCCGAATACTGTCTTCCCAGATTTGTGGACAGGTATATTCTTCATTACAAATACATTTAGACTTGAAATGAACAGTGGCGAATAGTGGAAAGTGGAATATACGTTTCAATTATAATCGTATTACTAGCCCATCCTTTACACTTTGTACAAGTGAAGAATTTTCAGGTGTCGGTTGTCCTACAATCGTCTTAAAAACATAGCCGATATCCGAGTTAGTCTTACAAAAGCAAACAACATTTATTTATTGTTTGCATCTACCCAGTAGCGATTAAAAGAATATTCGGTCTTCCTTCACACACAAAGGTGTGTTCGGTGATGTGATATGTAAATAACAAAAGGGAAGGGGAGACCAACTACTGTATCGACAAACAGCACTGGTAGGAAGTTACGTGGCAAGGGTTGTATGAATTTCTTTCTCTTACTTCTTTGTAAGATAAAAACGAGAGACGGTCAGATTTCCTTAACCTTCATGTAAAACCGTAATTGAAAACATATTTACAACTACATATATTCGAAAAGTTTAATAAAACTCCACGAAGAGGATTTTTCGATTTCGTGACAATGTTGTAAAGGGTGAATCAGAACCGTACACCCCTTTCTGGGTTTCTGTAGTTATTGAGTGAAAACTCAAACTCGTGTTAACTTTGTAATAAACTGTTGTATTATTACCCTTTTTTACCTAAGTAAAGTTGTTCTCGGTCATTATGCCTTTACTATGCGGAGTTGGATACACCCAGGGTCCAGACAAGTAGTTACTGTATTTTAACTAGGTGTAATTTTGGGAAATTATAAGAGAAAAAAAACGCCGGAGAGTAAACAACTTCAAACTCGGCGACTTCCGTGGCCTCGCCGGTACACCTAGAGGAGTTCAAGACGCAACTGGCAGAATTGGTAGCGGAGGTGTCGTGGACGACGGGTGGAAGAGGAGAGGGATAGTGAGAGGAAGAAGTGAACGGCGGGACCGCCCTCTTTCCATAATTCATTGAAGAAAGCGTGTATACAACTAACCCCTACTCTCTTCTCTAGTCTTACATTCTTAATTCTCTCCGCACACTGTACATCTTTATTGGAAGATTCGATTTATAAAAGAACAAGTCAGAGTACACTGTGAATGCCAAAACACTTGCGTACGAAGTTATAGAACTCCAAATGGGGAGTTTTAATAATGTCTGTCTACACAAAGAGGAATTAGACCGGTAGTCCGGTATTTCACATAAAGTGTGTTGATAAAGGTAAATTACAAACAATAAGGTACATCAAACCAACAGGTGAAGACAATTTACTCTTCTTAATTGTAATTTTGTCGTGATGGTGACTTAACAATCCGATTACGGTTTTGAGTTAGACTAAATACATTGTTTTATTAGGAGTTAGGTATAACACCCGCAAGTGGAAAAGTTCCTGTGATTAAAAAAGTTTGACGTCGTTTTTGGTCGGTGAGAAACGCGTGAGTGGTTTAATTGTTCACAGCACCGTCGTAAATTTGTCGGCTATTTTTGTAAACTATTGGTGTTTTAAGACAAGACCGAGCCTTTTATATGTGACTTTATGAGTTCAGGTGACTCATAATATATTCTATCAAGCACTGTGTGTAATGTCATATTTTACTCATACAAGGTTAGTAAGTATAAATAAAATCCACGCTGTAGTGTTTTTAAGGTAAACTGGAAGGAATTTGTGGAGTTACTTTCAGGCTACGTTTATATAAATTTTTTTTTTTAAATGTCATCTGTGGAAGCCGTAGCGCTGTAAAAAGCACGACCAATCATTTTAGCCGGCCCGGCTAAAATAACTTGATGGCCTAGCTGTCCTGTCAGCCTTCCATCTTTGCACAAACTTATCTCGTGCCCTCATTGTTCATGTGCGCGTTCGTATGTGTTGGAGGAAGGGCTCTGTAAGGAAGAGGCAGATTTTTTCCGGCTGTGTATTTTCAAATTCTAGCGCACTCGAGCTGGTTTCACCAAAATTACCCACCCCACCTTTAAGCAGTGGGATGTCTTCAATCTTTTTCTAGTTGTGTGGCCTGGATATTGTTTTTTAAACTACTATTACTTTTTCAATTCAATTATATATTCAATGTTGAACTCTACTCTATGAGTGATTGATTCTTGCAGAGTAGGGATTTACTGACGGATTAGAGTGCAAATATGTGCACGATCGACCGCATGCATGGTGGTGTGTCAGTCAGATGAAATGCATGATTGAACCCACTGCTGGGATAATATCTCTGAGAAATGTCATCCAAAATGGTAGGCTATTGCATTATGTATCGTACCAGGCAGAAAACAGTCAGTGTTTCCTCAAGACATACCATGTGTCTAGCTGTCACAAAATAGAATACGGCCGATAACTACATTGTGCGTAGTTCAGTGCACACATACAAACGGTAATGGTTGAATCAATAACACAACACTTTGTATCTAGTACCAGATCTTCGTTTCGTTTTGACAAGAATCGACGACGAGCCGATACTGAGACATACAGCTTGAGAGATAAAAACACCATAATGTATATCACCTGTGTAATCCATCTTGAGGATACCAGCTGCTGGCATCATTATTTCACTACACGGTGCAAGTACACCACGGATTCCCCCTGAGCGTTTTCAATGGCAAATGGACACAGCACTGTTAAAGCCGGAGAAGAGTAAAATGACTTACAATTACAGTGAAATGTCACTTCGGTCGGTCGCTGTGATGGGTTGTGTCGTCGTTGTTGCTGCTGTCCCCGGTACAGATAATTAGGTCAGTGTTCCTCTCGCTTGTTCAGCTGATGTGCCAGTGAAACCACAGTGCTGTCAAGTGATAAATACTGCTTCCGGTGGCTGGATGTTTCAAAATAAAACCAGTTAGTTTTACAACCTTTGAAACCCTTGGCTGATGAAAACACGCACACTGATTTAAATGAACAATACTTATCAGAAAGAGTGTGTAGTCCGCCAAATAAGCCTTATAGTATGTACACAGACCGTAACTGGGTAATAGTTTGACCTGCTCTGCGTCTTAAATTAAATGGAAAATTATTTGCATTAATCCGACTACTTCCGCCTTGCGCCACCTGCCGACCAGCTGTCAAAGACGACCACATTAAGGTACACGTTAACAATTAACCTTCAGCGCTCTAGTAAATTAATGTTGTATTTATTTCTAAAACAAAATAATACAAGTAAAATGTCTTCCGTGACCTCAATTTATAATGCAGCTTCGCTTCTACGACGTTGCAACACGATCCAAAATGGCGTATCGGCCTTCCAACTATCCCTCTTGTGATTGGTTCTCCGAATTCCACGAAGAGCTTTCATTGGTTGCTTTCAGCTTTATTTTTACACTTTACTTCCGGATAGTGTGCTCACGAGCTGTTGCCGCGCGTGATAAGAGGGTTGTCAACAAAGTAAGTTATTTTACAAACGTTTGCAAATTATGATTCAACTGTCCAACTGCTACCTACCGTTATTTACAAAATACTCAGAAAACCAGCTGAACATCGTTAAATTAGCCTGCTTTTGTTTCCTTCAACGGTGTGGAGCTAACGACTTGATATTCAGTTTGATTTTCTATCTTGCTTTTTATTAACAGCTACTACAAGGTCGCAATGGCTGAGAGCGACGATGTTTCACTTGTCGTTAGCAGCCAGCCTCCTGAGAAAGAGGAGCAGGGAGGAGGAGAAGGTGGAGAAGATGGAGGAGATGGAGGAGGCTCAGAAGGCTCAGAGAGGGATGATGAAGGAGGGTTGAGTGATGCCCAGAGAGAGGTGTTGGACAGATGTCTCCAGGCCCTCAGACAGGCTCAAAACGACAGTCACACTTTGGCTGCTCTGCTGCTGGTAAGTGTCTGTTCCCAACCTGGGGGGATGATTTGAGGCCAAATATCATATTTAGACTTTTTTTTTTTATATAATTGTAACGCAATACATGATTGTTACTAAAAGCCTTGTCTCTACATTACAATAACATATACAAAATAATAGATTAATTAATTTGAATACAAATTCAAGTTAGTAGCTATTAAAGGCATAAAAAGACAGAAATGTCTAATTCTTTCTTTAATAGAAATTTTTCTTTTGTCCGTAAAGTGTCCAAACCAGGCTTGTCTGGATAAGCGCATTTGTATAACATAGTCATTGTCTA